TTTTTACAGATTAGTTTTGGCAAAAAAGTCGCGTGGTAATCGTTCTATAACAGTATAAAGGGGTGTTTGTCAGTCCTTTATTTGAAGTTTTTTTGTATTATCGTTTTTAATTGAAAAATCAATTTTTTGCTCAAATTGTTTCGCTTCATGTTTACTTTTGTTTAGTCGATAACAGAACTGCTAATTGTTTTTTCTTTGCCACCTCATATAAAATTTTTTCGATTTAGTCTATGCACCTACAGAAGAAGAATGAAGCTGCCAGGGCTGATGATGGAAGAATGATAGTCACAGATATGAAATTATTAAATAGTTATTTTTGAGCAAGTCTTAAGACCATACTGAATTGAATATTCTCTCTAGTATGCTTAAATTTTATTCACTGTAATAGTTGTGTGCTAAAGAATAAAGAGTTAAAAGAATGAACAAGGCCGAAAAATGTTCATTTTTTTATTTTTACTTGTCGTTATCATTTTTAAGCCTTTTATAGCAAAGCAATTTTGAGTCAAAAATTGCAACCTGCCTAACATTTGTGCTTTCTATCCTTTTAGTTTAGATGCACATGAATATTATATTAAGCACAGTAGTTTTTCCTACGGTCACTCGTAAACTACATTATACAGATCGTGTGAGAAGAATGGCCTTTAAAGACTTGTTTAATTATTGTCAGATATATTGTTATGCATCCGTATAGAGCACAAAAATAACGTACTTATGAATATTATACATTTGAAAGTGTGTATGTTTTAGGAGAAAAAAGGGTTTTTTCTGCTAAATCATTGTGTATTCTTTACCACAAATGAGATATTAAATAAGAAAGTCAGGTTTTTTTATTTGTACGTGAAAGAGAATTTTTTGTAGTTTTTTTAGTTGTTTAATTTAATAAACTTATTTCAGATAAAAACAAGTAATTTGTGCCTTATTATATTTTAAAACCTTCTTGTTAATAAGGATACGTTTTTAAACTTTTCAGAACCTTTTTTGTTTACAAGGGCTCTATCTGCTAGGTAGGGAGATAAAGTACATGATGAAAAACTGAAATTTGTTTTTTTGGTGGGGAAACAGAAATATCTCAAGATTTGATATTTTTTTGATGTCAGCCATTTTTCTTCTCGATTTATAACTAATAAAATTTGACTACAGAAATAAGACAGCAATTAAGTAGTTTAAAAAAAAAAAGTTGTTTGAAAAATGTAAGCATTACCTTTTTCTATTCAGTTACTGGACTCAGTATTGTTGGAAAATGGAGCTAGTTTATTTATATTTATATTGCTAAAAATCAGCTGATAGAAAGGTAAAATTAATTTACTAGAAAAATTATTTCTTGAAACAATTAAATATTGGCTCTTTTATCTAATTACTTATTTATTTTTTGTTGGCCTTAATATGCTTTTGATTTTTATAGTAACGGAATGTATACCCGTACTTTTTTTCTAATTATTTTAAAGACAGCTGATGTGTTATTTACTGGGACCGCTTAGTTTCATCTATTTTTCCTTATTAAAAAAACTATCTATCAATTTATCATAGGTCAATCAAGGTTTGATGCAAAGTAATGATTAAGTTTAGAAGTATTCTATCTTGAGGTAAACAGTCTTTGGACTTGGTCTGAAAATGTTGCGTAATAGCTCAAAAGTTTTGTAGACAATGACTTTAGGAACTGTTGCGGTTACGGGTGATTAGAAAAGCTTTGCTTTGAGAGAGTTTTACTTGAATAACTGGTCGTTTTTGAGCGACAGCATCATATATCTCTTTTGAACAGAAAATACAGTTGCCAAAAAAAGCGCCTAATTTACTCGGTATTTCCAAAAAATCTATTTTATTTTCTTTACATAAAGACTTTTCTTAGGAGACAGTAAAAAGTGAAAAACGTATGAAAGGTTGATCAAAAGCTTGCGTAAATTTAGTTCTGAAACTTATTGATATGTTCATGATGTTTCTGCTTTAAAAAAGTGGTAATCAATATATAATACGAAGCCTAGCAGTTAGAAGCAATATGTTTCTTTACGTTTGCTTCCTTTTCTCTCATTGTTCTTCTTTTCTACTTTTTTTGATAACAACGTCTTCTCTTCTGACAGAGATTTTACTGAAAACTCTTCGCTTTTTTCCAAACTCTCTCAACTAGTGACAGACATTTTCAGAAAACAAAAACCTGTTACTCTGTCTCGGTATTAATCAAAAAGGTGTTTTTAGCTCATCTAGTGCATCTAAAAGATTTTTTAACAATTAAGAAAACTTTAAGAAGTCTTTTTATTGACCTGCTTGCGAAAAACTTTTTAAACATAATTCTTTCTTGCTCGATCTTGTTTTTCAATTTTTCAAATCTTAATCACTTTTTAACATTAAAGGAAGCTAATTAAGCGGGTGAGTGATAAAAAAAATGAACATTTTGAAAGCTAGTACACAAAATAGGTTAACAGTGAAAAGCTGATAAGTTTTTTTTGTCTACTTATACACTGTCTCATCACCTTTCTTTACAGTTATTTTTGATGAAAATGTTGTTTTCAATTTTTTGACAACGTTCTAAGCCAAAGTTTTGTCAGCTTCTTAGATGACTCATGAAGCATTTGAAAGACTTAATAAGACACCTGTGTGTGAACTGTAAATCAATCAAAAAAAAGTCTTTCTAAAAAAAGTTTTTGGGTTTTGCAAGATACGAAATCAGTAATGCATCTCTGCTGTAGAAAGTGGGCATACTGATTTTGGCACGTCAATGTGCAAAGACTGTCATTATTAATAGATAGATAATGAAGAAGCTGTGCAGTTTTATGACGATAAGAAAGCACAGACAGCTGACAACTCTAGTTAATTGAACACTTTGGACTGCACCTTTACTGGCAGTAAAGTGAGTTCCCGAGATCTTCGAAAGATTAGGTTGTTTTCTTTTTATGTTTAACTTGATTCTGTTGCTACGGTGATAGGCAATATTTACAGGTACTGTTTTTAACTTTCTGAGCTGCTCATTCGAACAGACAATAGATAAATATTTTTTTGCGCGTATCTTTTAAACCACTATATTTTGTAAAACCTATAGGTTACAGAAACTAAGCTATTGAAAGCATAAAAAATTGCTATAAGTAATTTACAAAAATATATAGAATAAGAAATGCTTCAAAAGATAAAGTTTTTGTTGTTTTTCTATAAAAAAATCTGCTTGTAGTTATGTCATACAATACTGTTAAATTAAATAATTTTTTAGAAGATAGCTAACAAAATTACTACTATCAGCACTACAGTGAAAGGTGGTAATTGACCTTTAGAAGATTTTAACCTTTAGAAGGTTTACCTTTAGAAGATTTTAAATCAAATTTTTTTATCTGTCAAATACGCCTTGCATTACGATAAAGTTTATATAACAACAAAAAATAACCGTTTATGAGCAAAAGTGATCGAATTATTATTACCTATTGGATAATCACCGTAATATAACTTTATTCTCAACTATCAGAAATGTTTTTGTTCATATATCGTATAACTTCGTTAAAATAATAATGAAAAAATCAAAATAAAAAACTATTTTTTACTTTTGTTAGCTGAATTAACTTTTCTAACTGTTTTATCAATAAACTGCAAAGTGTTTAACCATCTAACTTTTATTTTATGATTTAAAAAGCTTCAAAAAACTGATCATTTTTTTCTTATTATTTTCAGAGAACTTGTTTTTGTACAAAACTATGAATTCAAAATTTGAAACTACTGATTGTGCGTTTCCGTTCATTTATACGCGAGAAGATGTAGTAGCTTATTTAAATTTACTTTTTCTCCAACCTCATCTGGAATCGAATTTACGACAGAAGAAGCATGTGCTGAAGGAATTTTACACGGCTCAGGTACAAGCTCCAGATACTCGAGTTTTTAATTTCAATATACCCGCTCGATATGTCTATCTTCGGTATCGTGGTGGAGGAGCTCAGGGAATTGTAGCGTAAGTTTTCTTCTAATTTTCTATTTGTTAAAGTACATTAGTGTTATCTTTAACAAGATATTTCAAGCCATTAGCTCAGTTCTATTGCTAAGTTCTCCAGTTAAAAATTTATTTTATTAATTTATGAAGAAATACAAGTCTAAATTTTTGAATAATAATTTTACCTTCAACTTTAGCTTGCTGTTGTTATCTTTAAAAAGATTAAAATTGAAGTGTATAAAAACAGTAAGTTTATTTTAGACAACAAAAGGTACTTGACTCTATTTCAGAGCTGCATATGATTTGTTGACAAGCAAACATGTGGCAATCAAAAAGTTGTACAACCCATGTGGAACCATTGATAGTGCAAAGAGAACATTTCGTGAAGTGGTTTTACTATGCGCTTTGAAACACGACATGGTCTGTTATTAAACGCTTAAATTTGAAAAATTTCAATATTATAACTGAAGCAGGTTTTTATAATCAAAAGTTTTTGTAAGCAACCTTCACAACACCTTTTTTAGCTTATTAGACTAGAAGATGCTTTTACACCACAGACGTCTGCAGAAAGTTTAAATGAGCTTTACTTGGTCACTGAGCTGCATCATGCTGATCTTTATCAAGTTATAAAAGCTCGGCTAGGTCTCCCAATCCAGTTACAGCCTTTCTCAATGTTCCACCTATCAAAAATTGTTTATCAACTACTAGCTGGACTCAATTATTTGCTTCGATGTGGAATTATTCACCGAGTCGGTACTTGTCTCTCTTCAAAATCTCTAATATTTCGTGCTCATTACTTTATAAATTAAATTAATTTATATGCGACTTTCTTGAAATCTTAGTTTAAATAAGCTAAAATCGAGTGGTAATTAAGAAAAAAAAGTTTGGAGTTTAAACTATATAAAATATTTGTTCAGCATGCTTTTTTTATTATCTCATTTTCTGTAGGACCTTAAGTCGCTCAATATAGTCGCTAATCAGGACTTTACGGTGAAGATTGCAGACTTTGGACTCGCTCGAATGTTACCGTCTACTCCTGGTTCCAAACAAACAACTAAAGTTGTAACTCTTTCGTACAGAGCCCCAGAAATCATTCTTGGGTTAAATTATAACGAAAAAGGTATTTTTCAACAAGAGAAAAAAGAAACAAAAAGCTTTATTTTTTAACAAAACGTTTAGTAAATTTTCTCTTCTGTGCTGATATTGTTAAAAAAATTTTTTATATAATCACATGAAAATGTTAAATAAAGTTTGACACAGCATATCTTGTAAAAAATGCCCTTGCAAAAATGTGTGCTTTAGTCGACGTTTGGTCAGTCGGGTGCATATTCGCAGAACTGATATTACGAAGGGTGTTATTCGAAGGGACCGAGGAGCTATCTGTATGGAATTCAATTGTGAAAATTCTTGGAAGTCCTGACGAAAGTTACATCAGCAAGTGAACTTTTCACACTTATCTTTCTAGAATATATCTGAAAAACAACACCAACTATTGCTACAAATTACTTATGAATCTGAATCTTTAAAAAGTGTTTCAACAATTGAATGCAGACACTAAAATAAGTCGCTGATACTCTAAAAATTATTGAAACAATGAGACAAATTATTCATTCTTTATTTTAACTTAAAACCGTGATTAAACGAATAATAAAGCTGTAAAATAAAGAAGTAAAAATAGTGCTACTACACGTTTATATAATACAGTAGTCTCTTAAATCTAAAATTGAATTTATTTTGGCTACAACAATCACTCTTGATTTAACTGCAACAATTTTCTTTTGAAACTGCAGTCTTTCACAAAAAAAATCTTTTCTAATAAGAGTAGTAGTATAGAGGAATTACACGTATCGGCAACACTTTAAAATTAAAATATTATAAAGCTTTAATTAATATTTGTTCAGAAATTATTTTTTTATATTGTAAAAAAATTTATAATTTTTTTTTTATCGTGTAGAATTTGTTCAATCTTAAAAAATTTTTAGGATACCAGAAGAAACAATTGTTCGAAACACTCCATTTCCTCCGCGTAAACCATTTGAGCAATTATTTCCAGACGTATATTTTGGCAAAATGGAAGAAAACTATCCGACATTAAATGGTTTAAGAAAAAATTATTTGTGATTAAAAATCTTGTCGTAGGTTTAAAGATAACACTGAGCAGTTATTTTTTTAAAATAAAAATAAAAATACTTTTGTTATATTACAGTAATACATTAGATGATAGCCCTAAGAACCATCATTAGTCTAGCACTATATACAATTCTTAGGTGTTTCAACAGTAAACGAAATGGCATCAGCATTTCAGTTTTTTAGCTGCTAATGCCCGAGATCTGCTGTCAAAAATGTTAGAATACGATCCTGATAAACGAATTAGTACAGAAGAAGCTGCTCAGCATCCGTTTATCAAACCACTTTATAATAAAGCACACTGGGATGCACCTCTACCACAGTTGCGCTATGACCCAGACATTGAAATGGAAGACAAATCCATTGAGGACTATAGAGGTATTGCCCTAATGTATTA